TATTTAGAATACACTAATTGTTTTAATTTGTTCTCATTTTCTAAAAGTTCCTCATGTTTCACGGAAAATTCATCAATAATATTCTCGTTGTTATAGTGACTGTGTAGAAATAATAGACACCACGCACCACAGGTCTTGCTAATATATGATTGACGTGTTAATTGCATATATACGGAAAAGTTACAACGTAGACTACGAAAATAATCCAGCCAATATTTACGACCAAAAAAACGCGGTGTCTTACCAAAACTATCAAAAAATATAATATTTTGATATTCTTTTACAACACAAACCCAATGTGTGCCGGGTTTATCATCCTCATCGGTATTCCATACCCAGCAACATTGTTCTTTGACACCTTTTGGGTATACATTGGCGGGATAACAACCCAAGTAATAGGGTTTAACAGACGTGTTTGCACTAGCCAATTTATCAATGTCATCGGTGTTTAAAAATTTACTTAGAAAACAGACGGTTGACGTCATTAATCCGAAAGATAACTTCTGTACCTTCTTCCTTTACTTTTACCCTTACTCGTTTGCGGTGTAGGAATAAGTGTGGATGGAGACGCTGTAGCTGATGGTTTGCTTACACTTAATAGCTGCTTGTACTCTTCTTTCATTTTTTTATTTCGAACATATGAAACGGGCATGCCTGTTCTTTTCAACAATATCAATACTCTACGTCGGTTGTTAGCTGTTAAATTGGGCTGCGTTTGAGTATAGTTTCGTGTTAAATCTTCCATCATATCCTGATAGGATATATTTAGTTCAGTGTCACCCATTTTAATACCATTTGCGATTGGTTTAACATCGTGTTTTTGTAAATGTTGCTCGATTTTTTGCGCTGAAGCAGCCACTGTGCCCGGTTTATGACCGGCACCACTTGCACCCGCTGTGACGGGAACAGGTGCATTTGCAGCATCATCATCGTCATTTACAGGTTGATCAAGACCGACCGATTTTCGATAACTGTCTGTTTTTCGTAGAAAATTGATAATATCGTTGCCCGCTGTGGAAGAATTATTTTTAACAGATTTTTTTACTTCCTGACGACTTTCAATAAGACCCGCCTCTTCACTACTGCGTTTCGCGGTGTTTAATAATTCATCTCGTGCATTATTTTTAGTAAGCATGTCCATCAGACTATTCAATTTATTTGCGTCTATCAACGCTAACCGCTTTACTTCGTCCCCCATTTTTATGTGAATGATTTTGTTTGATCGCTTCCAGTTGTCTGACGGCTTTCCGAATATAACTGTGAATGCGCATATCTTCCACAAGCGTAAATTTTATATCTTTCTTTGGACAATCTTTACTAGTAATATGTTCTAAAACACCACGGTCACCATGATCTATTTTTATATCAAGTTTGTCGCGCACAATTAATTCACACACGTGTAGTAGATGGCGTATAATAGTTGGTGAAATTTGTTGACTTTTTTGATCAAAATCTAATCTCAAAAAATTTGAAACGCATGGAATAAGACGACTTTCTTTCTTTTTTTTTACAACTTTTTCTTGTAATTGTATTAAATGTTGTAAAAAACCTTGTATTACTTGCTCGTCTAATTGTTCATCATCATCGTCGTCGCTACCGCAAGTTTGAAAATCTGGAATATCCCTATTGCCCACATCAACATCATCAGCATGAATATTTTCAGCTAATTCAACATTTTCAGATTGACTAGCTTCAGGTTGATCAACATTTTCAGGGGTAATAACAGCGTTTTCAACATTTTCCATATCATCATCATCGGTATCAGAATAACCCGTTAAGTTTAGATTTTCTTCATGGGTAATTTCAGCCATATTTTGAAATTGGTGCATGTATATGAACCGTTTGAATACTTACACCACCTTTATCACTGATAACTACGGTGTTCGGTGGCCGTGGTCGACGTACAAAAGATTCGTATTTTTTAGGAGGACCCTTTTTTAAACCATCCTTCGCAGTCACATGTCGCGGCATATTGGTATGCGTAAAACAATTTACATTTAATTTTATAATTAATTTTTTAATTTTATCGTTTTTTATTTTATTATATATTTTTTCTAACCCAATCATCTATTTGTTTTTGTTCTTTCTTAGATTTTCCTTTCATCCATGCATTAAGACCCAAAACATCACCACCACCTCCTTTTTGAAACACGCTATGATCAGTATATAGATTCCAACCACCTTTTTGTAAGCGGTGGTTTAATATTTTTCTCCTTTTTATTCTACCACCTTTTTGCGCAGCGGGATGATTTCCATAAAACTCCCCCTTTTTCGGACGGGTAGCATTTGTTACCTTTTTTAAACTTGCAAAAAAATCTCCAGCACCTTTTTGCTTTCTTCTTTTACCCTTCCTTTTGCGACAACAACCGCGTTGTTTAACCATAGTTAAAAACTAGTTCAAATCGATATGTTAACAATGTTTTATACTTCATACTTCATTCGTGCTTGGGTACCAAAACCAACACTCATTTGATTTCTAAATTCACCGATACAAATAAGTTGTTGTGCAACGGTGGTATCGACAGCAAAATCAATTTTTATACTAACATTCCCACTTGTTGAATTGGGCAAAACTTGGGAATAACCATCACGATTCGCTGATAAATCTGTAACAATCATATCGTAATCGGACACATAATCCTCGTAGGAACATGGCATTTCACTAAATCGCCGATCCAATGATTGACGTAAACTAATGTAAGCCTCGGCTGAATTAGTAATTATGGGTGGTATTTCAGCTTCATTGATACTAACGGCAAAACGGGTAATATTAGGAAACGTTGCTTTGTAGGGTGCTAATATATAGGAGCCGTTGTAACGCGCTTGCGTTATAATCTTGGTTATAAGACGTGTGGGTCTTGCACCATTGAAAAGATCTTTATGTTGAATATGTCGACTACCTGTGGGTACGGGTATTGCGATATAACGATGTGTGGTTTTATAATACCTACATTCTTCACCTTTTTGAATCATCAGTTGATTAATTGCTGACGATAATTGTGCGTTGGGTTTTAGAATTGGTATGGTTAATTTTAAATCACCCATTTTCAATTCTACCAAAGCACATTCTGCAGCCGTACCATACAAGACTTTTGTTCTCTCCAATCTTGTTAAGACCACTTTGAAATCAAATGATGTGGGCACATACCGTCTAACTCGACCCAACACATCAATTTTGTCGATACAATTATGAACAACATCTGTATTGACTTTTAAATAGCGTTGTCTTGCACCGAGATTTGTATTACCCGTAGCATTAGCAGAACGATGTAAATTTGTGATAACATCTGCCTGGCTTGCTGTATCGCAAATCATTAAAGTAATACTTTTATCATCCACATACTCTGAAGGAACGGTTGTAAGAAAATCATGAGTAAACTCAAGTTCATTTTCCTTACTTGATTGTGGTGTGATTAGCTGATTATTTAAATATACAGCTTTGGTTTTCCAACCATAGCGTAACGGTGCTACATTAACAGCTACATTTTGATCGGCGGCAGGTGCTGCATGTGGTGCTGCTATATTCGTAAGACGTAATTTTGCAGATAATTTTGCGTCGGTCATATCGATTACGCTGTAATCTTGTCGATTATGCATAAATGTATAGATTTCAGCATTTTCAGTAGGGGGGTTAGGCAGTAATTCAAGAGTCCGCTGTTCAACAAATGTGTCATTATGGGGAAAAGTATCAAATAATGTCATCGGCCCCACAAATCCACTATCATGTTCTTCAATAGGTTCCGCCTCTTGCATTCTTGCACGTTTCGCCATCACGATGTTCAATGAACTAATGAAACTATTTTAAAAAACGACTTCCTTTTTAAGAAAACACACACACACGCACAGATTTTAAATAAATTTTTATTTTTAAAAAAAGAAAATATACATATTAATAATAATCGTCATAATATCTTGGTCTACGACGTCTTCGCGGTGGTGGACGGTCTTGCATCCATGAAGGTTCTGGTCTATGACCCCCTTGATTATTCATACTTTGTGTGGGTTTCCGTGCTGGTTTTTTACCAAAAATACTACCCACAACACTCGTACCCGTATTTAATAACATGGGTAATGCCATCCCTAATGCAATTCCTGCAGCAGGACCAAAACCACCTATTTGCTTCTTTCTTTTACCCCTCCTTTTCTTATTTGTTATTCTTCTTTTACTTTTATTAGCCATAGATTAAATTTAAAATTTCAGGTGATATGGCAGCTGCTTGACCCCGTATTTGGGGTTGTTTAGGAGTTCTCGCTTGTATTTTACCCACCCTCGGTATCTTGGTGTTCGGTGCGTAATTTGGATTTAGCTGTGGTGGGGGACAAATTTTACCCGCAGCACGTTCTTCAACAGTTGATGCTTTACCCTTCAAGGTAAACAATTTTGTCCCTTTATATGGTGTACCCCCACCTTTTAACAGTTTTACATAGTCTGCTTGCTCCATGGTGAATGACTTCTTTTTTTACATTTCATCATATATATTTAAGACAATGGATAATTTTGAGCGGTTTATAACACCACTAGCCAATGCAAAAGCATCCGTTTGATATCCCGCTGTTCGTTCAAATATAAATTTCACATTCTCATCTAATTCGGTAACATTTCGTACGGTCAATAAACAATTAGGAACCCGTGTTTTTACCGTCGAATTTGATGGTTGAATTATTATCTTGTTATTAGACATTTGTTCAAATCGTTCAAATAATATGTGTCGTTTTTGGGTATAATAATGTACGGTATTTTTTCCACGCCATGTAGCATAATCTTTACCTCCCCAGAAAATACCATCACCTCCGCGGATTTCACGACCTGTTAACTTGTTAGTAACATTGTGTTTTCTTGCTACCGATAATTTATAACCACCCAATATACCAGTAACATGTGCCACTGTATAATACATTAATTTATGTGACCCTTTTACTTCCGAGCTGTATTCATATTTTACGGGTACAAGTTCTTTAGGACGATCGGGTTTTACTTCTAAATCGATCTTTAACATTTTTTATTCCACAACACACTCGATATTCACTGTTCCGCTGCTGAACGGTATTAGCTTATGTGTTGTATCGTAAATTGCAATTTTAAATTGATTAATTTTACTTTTAATTAATCTACGGACCGTATTCGCTGGTGTGTATACACACAATGCACCGCTACCCCGGTCGTTGCTGTTTAAGGGTACAATGGTTAACAAAGGAGCATATGTATCGCCAACAATCGACATTTCCAATTGTTCACAATATACAAACATTTTATCAACACCGTTTGAAATATCGGGAAGGGCTTTACCCATAAATGAACAAGCAAATTTATTTGCTCCAGAAGCATTTGTTTTATTCATATAATAAAAGTTGGCATTAATGGTTGATGGAAAAAGTGATCTGCTTCTTTGCAGTTGCGATTTTTTTTCGATAACATCTGGATGAACTTTTATTTCACGCATACCCAGCATATATGCCAACGATTCAGTAAGGACCATTTGAAATTCGTCCCCATTGTCGGTATTTTGGGAAAAAACGTTGAATATTTGATGGGGTGGTCTTGTTAAGACTCTTTTTACAGTTTCGTCAGAATGCCAATATTCACGTTCGATACTGTACGTTACACCGACACGCGAATTATTTAAAATTGTAAAATTCACATCATATTCGGAGACAAATGTATTCAAAGTATCAATAAGTCTCTGTAAGGTGTAGGAACCCTCGGGTAAATACATCATGTCCGTCTTAAAATTAATCTCGATACCCGAATCAGACTGTGTAGGAAAACGCATAAAAAGTTGTACACCACATTCCTCATTTTGAACATTTTCAATCGTTAAGGGATACGAGAAATTTAAAACTCTCATATACAGCTCTTTATTTTCGGCATCTAGTAACGTGGGTAATGGCATAACAAACTCGTTGGTGTAATTTGTCTCCCCAACATCATTTCGTGCATTGCTGACAATTTGGATATTCATATTACTTGTAATTCACTGCGATAAAATATTCCCGTGATTTCTTCACCCTGCAGATCCTCAAGCGAATACGTAACCGGATCGGATATGTACACCTTTTTAATACGAAATTTCTCTTTCACCCAGCGTCTCAAACTAGATTTTTCAAAAACATTATTTTTCATTCGTGCGATACGTACATGTTGACCTTGCTTTAATAGACGTACAGGTTTTGGATTATCATTCAATATCGTTTTTAATCTTCGATATGTATCCGGTTGTTTACCCCGTTTATATACATCAAAAGGTGTTAAATTATATATCCCTCTGTGCGGGGCTTCATTATACCGCTCAATGACCAATTTTAAATTTTCGATATATCGATAACCTTTATCTAATCCTGTCATTGAACGCATAATACTTTGTTTAAAGGTTTCGATAAATCGCTCAGCATGTACGGCTTTTGTTTCCCGATTGTAAGTGTGAAAAAGTGTAAAACCATATTTTTTACACAAATCCCTTTTTATCAACGCAAATTCTGTCCCCTCATCACTTTGAATTTTTAACGGAATCTCTTTTTCTTTTATCAGGAATCTTCAAATTTACGTGCTACATTTCTAGCCGTTTTCGTTTTTAATGGACGTACAAAGGCATAACGAGAATAAATGTTGACACACACAAGCAGGTAGCGATATTGATTATTAAATCTTGCTATATTATTCAAATCTGCTAAATCAATACTCCATTGTGCATTACGACTATATACATGAATAGGTAAACCTTTATATTTTGTCAATTTTTTACTATGCAACGTATATGCTTCTTTTTGTTTATTATTTAATCTTTCGTGTTTTAACAAACGAGATGTTTTTTTAATCAGTTCAGCATTCTTATCGGTTTTGGACGTCTTTCCCATAATTTGTTTTACTAAAAAAAATTAATACAACATATTTTTATCAATCATTTCACTATACATTGTATCTATTTTAGATATATTATCGTCTTTTTTGATCATGTCGAGATAGTTGTACACATATTCCTCATTCATTTCTTTCGCATATAATAATACAGCAGCTTTACAAGATATTTTTTCACGATGCATCACAGCTATAATAATTGATACGACGTTACGATACTAAAAGGAAAAATTAATGAAAAATAGTTGCAAAACTATCCATAGACAGACCAGATGATTCATACAATATTCTTAATTTAGATACGGTGTGTAATATGTTTTGCTTCAGATCGTCTTCCCTAAGCATCTCAAATTCACCTGTTGAATTGTAAAAATCTAACGCTTTTTCATACGTAATATTTTCTGTTAAAATTTTCATCAGCAACCCCTTAATAACATGGGTTACACGCATTTGAAAATTTTTCGAAGGACCATATAGTTTTAAGGCATCATACCAAGTATTAAATGCTATTACCTCTTCGTCAACAGGTTCCACGGTACGTCTCTTTTTCACAGGTTGTTTGCCCAAACCCGTATTTTTCGGGGTTTCTTTTCTTTTAGCAGCAGTAGTCTTTGCTGGTGCTGCTGCTGCTGGTGGAGTTGGGGGTAATGCAGACTGATCATCAACATCTTGCTCATGCTCGACAGCGGTCAGGAAGTCGTTGATTTTTCGACCAACATGAATCCAGCTTTCATTTTTTGAAAAGAAACATTTCGCCCACTGTTCTTCCCATTCTATTTCTGCTTCTTCCTCATCCTCTTCAGGTTGTGTCATCGAGATATCATCTTCCAAACCGTCAGGAACATCGGCTACTAAAACATCTGGGGGTTTACTCGCTTGTAGACGTACGAGTACCAAACCACGGTATTCGCTATCTTTCAGGACAATACGGACTGCATTTTTTTGCCAATCTTCGTATTCGTCGATGAAGACGTAGTTGGCACCACCTTTCTTGTACGTCTTCAAGGCTTCATAAACTTTACGCAGCTGGGCGACGGTCAAAACAAATTTCATTTTGTATAAATTCTTATCGCCAGCCTGCGTCGGCGATACAGAGGCGATACAACATTTTTCATTATATCGCTGGTACCACAACATTTTTTTTGTTTTATTTTGATACGCACCTAATTCTGTTACGTGCGTAGCATTTTGTTTTTCATACATCTCAACAACGGGTATCTCATGTTGAGGTTGTGCCATCGTGACCAAGTGTGTGTGTCGAATGAAGTACAAGTCTTGCACTTACAACAGCATTTTATAAACCGTGTAACCCAATCCAACAGTCAATAACATATTTATCAAAAATTCTTTAGCAATTACCCCTTGAATATGGGCACATATTTTATTGTAGACATCTGTTATTTTACGGAGAAAAAAACATTTATTTTCAGAAGATGAAAATGTGATATGACCATATAAGGTCACAATAATATAACCCGCACATAACAATTTAAAACACTGTGGAATATCGTTAAATGCTTCATCACACACTAAAACCAGCATTAAATCACAACATTGTATATCGTGAACATCGCAATCACGTAACATTTTTCTAATAGGTGCTTCACAAACTTGTAAATAACAGGTCATCTGTTCATGAAATAATTCACGCACATATTCATGTTTATATTCCACCAAACCCATCCATTTTGATGTCGTATAATACATTATCCACACCAATAACACCAACCCTGTTGTGAACACTCACAAAATGGTGACACACGTATTTTTGTTTTTTTATCTTGTTGTCTTTGCTGCTTTATTTTTATATCTAATTTATAAATCATCTGACATATATAACATTGACATTTACACTCACATTTATCATGCTCGCAAATACAGGTACACTCCATACTAATGCTTATAATCTCAAATACATCATATAAATATAAATCTAATGTCTACGATTTGCATACCACGGTGTAACATTTATCATAAATAACTGTTTTAAATGTGCATATATAAGAATAGGTAATACACTATCATCAATAAGCATATTATCATTTAAAAAACGTATACGGATATTGACAATGTTTTTAGCATAACAAACCGCATCAAGATGATGAATCCATTGTATATAATGTACAAATTGGATAATTCTATTCATTTGAGTGCCGCCACCCAATCGAGACACTGTGTTTCCATTTAAAATAAAATGTTCCGTCATCTCATCATCTTGTGTTTGTAAGATAAGTACAAAGTTATAATATGTGTCTGTTCGTTGTGTAATATCGGCTTTTAACACGTATGAAATAGGATATAAAATACCCCTATATAGTACAGTACTTTGATAACGTAATAATCTGTATTCTTTTTTCTTTTGTCTTTCAGAAAATAACTTCTTTCTTCTTTTATTATTCATTTTGAGCAACGTCCTCGTAAATTGTTATCTTCAGTTTTGCAATTTCTTTCATAATTTCATATAAGCGTGTTGTAATATAGATATCGGGGACATACGTGTCGTTTATAGTTTTTCTCAATTCTTTATCACATAAACCTTGGTCTATACCCTTTTTCACGATACCATAAAGTCTTGCTATAGCACCTAGACGATGCCGGGAATATAATACACAACAACCATTTAAACATTGTGTTTCCACATCTTTTTCCGGTAATAGTGAAAACCTGCTACGTATATAACCGTCAGCATAACCAATATAAAAGATATAGTTATTATCCCCAATATGGGTACAATCATAAGAATAATTGACATGTATTATTTCACCGTCACATAACAACTTCAACAATGACCGTCGACCATTATTCGCAAAATTCATAACCCCAGTCGTATTGTTTTTTATATTTTAAATTTGTTAAATTCTGACTATAATTATATTCTGAATATGGGGTCGAATTAAACGCGTACCATATTAAATCGTCGTTAAACCATATGCCAAAATACTTTACCAAATAATAACTGAGTTGTGTTTGATGATAATCACACATATTTTTAAAATGTAAAAATGTATAATTACATTGTACAAAAAACGTCTCAAGCATCTGTTTTAACAATGTATCATGATCATACCGGTAGTTACGGGTACCAATTAGAACGACTGTAAATTTTTCAGAATTTAATTCTTTAATTATTACACGGCGTACATAACGTCCCCAATGATAATAATCCACTTCAAAGCGCACATAATTCTCTGTACATTCTAATAATTTTATAAAACTTAAATTTATAAAATAAAATTCACCATTGCACATAAGTCGTTGACGCATATTTAAAATCACTTTATAAAAAACCACTTTTTATACAAAAACACCACGACCATATAAGTACATACGTATTTCACAAAAACAATCATTTGTTTTCCAAGACTATAAGATGGTGAATTACAAACAGCGCCGCCGTTATCAACATGGTGGGAATTTTAAGGGTGCTAAATATCAACGTGGCAAGGCCAAAACAACACGACAAGACGGTGGTTTTCTAGGCAGTTTATTTGGTGGGGGTAAAAAATCAAAGTCACAACCTATCAACGTAAACGTCAATCAAAAACAGGGTAATCAGGGTAATCAATCCCGCAATTATCGTGGTTCTCGAGGTTATCAACCCTATCGTTATCAACCCTACCACCCGCCACCGCGTTACAATTATTACCCTTCACAACCCCAAACCCGTAGACGACCGGCAAAACTTAGAGGTAGGAGATAGAAAAAAACTGAACTGAAATAAATTGAAAGGAGTATGTAAACAACATTTACACTTTCTATATTGTGTAGAAAACGATGGACAAAAAAAACAACAGCAAGGTGGTAATTGGTGGATGTTATTTTTGTAATATATATATATTTCATATTAAATAAAAACTACTTAACAAAATACAATGTTATCACATTTTTCAATGTTTTGTCTACATATATAGCATAATTTTTTCTCCCCTAATATATACTTGATCATAGGTTTTAAATGACATATTCGTTCGGGATATTGTGTCAAAGGTTCGTTTTTATTTACAAGCCAAGTATGTATGAATGTTAGAGAGTCCATCTCGTGAAAGCAAGCACCGCAACCCCCGCCAACTTTCGGACAGCTGTAAACACCGTACTGGTAGACACATGTTCTGCCACATAGACATTTTATCCTGTTACGTTTTGCGACAATTTCAACAACCGATTCTTCAACATCACAACTATCGGTACCGCATACATAAAACAATTGTAATTCATTTGTGGCAGTACAGCCCCGCATATACGACGGTGTCGAATAACTAACGCGTTTTAAGACAGCCTTTGTCTGTACACCACAGGCACACGGATCACGATATAACATGTAGAAAATATACTCTTCAATCTCGTTCATAATATTTATGTACTGTTTTGCCCTTTCATTTTCTGCTTCGATTTGAAATCCACAAAAATACCCGCCCAATTCACTTCTTGTATAATTTTTATCTGCACAAACATAATAAGCGACGTCATTATACGTTGTCAAACACACATTATAATCACAACAACATTTAATTTTTTCACATATGACTTTTTCATTCCCGAGCTTCCACACTTTGCACACGTCGCAGTCACAAATCATCATGATTTCTGATTTTTTTTTATTAACCCTAGAAATATATATATGCATAACTTCGTGACTCAAATGAGTCGTTTATTTCATATGTCCAAATATGGACCTATACATTAAGTAAACCTATATATACCTTGACGTCGTATAATTTTTTATTTGACATCGCCAACTATTTTGGACATTGAGCCCGCGATGTGCAAGCGGATGCTCCCATTAGCATAAACAAATTTGCAATATAAATACATAGGAATGGCCATAAAAACTGCAAATTTAACAACAACAGAGTACATTTTTGAATTTGCGCAAATGGAATAGTATTCCTGCCTTAATAATTCACCACTAAGTAAAAAAAACAAAATTTAAAGACTTGAATTTACCTTTATTTGGATTTCATGTCTGCCACTAGCGAAGGCCCATTACATCGCTTAGTTTAAACACTAAAAAAGCGTCTGAACTCCAACTTTTAGTGCTTAATTTTGGAAAATCCATTAACAAATTGTTATCTGCGCAAATGGTAGGCGAAACTTAGCTGCCATGATCATCTGCTTACAAAATATCGTTTCGCAATTTGGATCAGAACCTTTTATAAATCACTTGTTAAATCGCTTTATTTTCAACTGCATTTTCATATGCTATCAAGGATGTACGTCGTGTTCGATTTCCTTAATTTCAGCAAGTTTCAAGCTTACTTTTGGCCGTGAAATCTTTGTCGTATTAGCAAGTTTTTGGTATCAAAATAATCGCCAAGATCTGCACATTCTAATCCTTTATTGCACGTTGGGATATGCGAAAAACAATCAGCAAGATCAGCGGCTAACTCCATGGCAATTTTTACTTCCGGTTTCAGAGCTTTACGCGAAAGCTCTTTGTTTCCCGCGAATTTAAAGCCTCATTTGAAATTAAAATGAACTATTACTATGTCTGACGTTTTGAAAAAGAATTATGATTTTAAAAGGTACAACCGTGACGTCGTTGTTGATAACAATCATTGCTTACAATATGTAAAGAAACAGTGTATAAGTTCTGAAGAAATTATTTTCACATTGCACATAACAAACGAAGTTTTGAAAAGCTGGGAAGACTTCAAAGGAAAGGGTATCTCGTTAAATTTTAGCTTTGTTGAAATCTTGAATTATTTTCTCGCTGAAAAGTACGCAATTCTTGTCAAGAAAGACTGCAAACGAATCGAAGAAGGGCTCAGAAAACTGTGTTCAAAAGTTAAAAGCGGTTTCAAGGGAAAATCTGGTTTACATTATCTCAACTTTGCAAGCCAAAGTAGAAGTTTTGCAATTCGAGCCGGGGAAATTTTGAGAGCATCTGATTTGGAAATCGAGTTGTGCAAGCTGAATACTGCAAAAGTTGCTCTAGAGAAAGAAAATGCAGCCCTTCAGAAACGCTGTGATGACTTGTACAGCAGTTTGGTTCAAGAAGAAGAGCTCAGAAGGAAAATCAACGATAGCTTAGAAGATGCAAAGGTCGACCTACAAAAGCTTGAAAAGGAGAATGCCAACTTGTGCAAGTATTTTGATAAAATTTCTGAACTGGAGGGATTCAAGAACTGCGGCAAACCTTTTTCTGAAGTCAAAGGAAGACAACAAAGACGCAAGATTAGAGAGTTAAAGACATATGTAGAACAAGCACTTTGGTTTGCCGAGACTTTTGGCCTTAAGCTTAGCTCGGTCAAATTCAATGATGACGAGGGGGTATCCCATACCATTGATTACACCATAGAAGATAGAAAGAAAGGATATAAAGATTTGTCGGAAGAAGAAAAAGAGAAAGTGCAACAGGTACTCTACATCACTGATAGTTTCTGCATTGGGGAGGCGGCATATCACGAATTTACCATGACTGAAGGAGGGGAGAAGCTACCGCGTTCTTATTTGGTGAAACAGTGCAAAAATGATTTGAACAGCCTATGCCACATCACCAGAACCCCAGGTGTTGCAGAAGGAGCACAAATGAACCTGGAGTCTGAATTAAGGAACACAATAAAGCAGCAGGCAAGTTTTTATTATTACCTATAATTTAAATGTTAATTAATATTTTGGTATTGCACACCAAAAAATAGCCACTCCTCAGCCCTCCCTAATTAAGCCTCCCCCCCCCCCATCATCTCCTGCCAAAGAACAAGAAGTCATTATCAAGAATCATCTCTACCGCTATACCGGTACTCTACTATAATGTTGGATGTTTTGTTCTTTTTATACATAATCACTGTTATTTGCAACAGGTTGATTTGGAACAGTTCAGAAATTGTGATCATGAAAAACTTAGAGTTAAGATCAGTGGGGATGGGGCATAAATGACCCGAATGACCAACTTTGTAATAATGTCATTCTCGCTGTTGGACTCTGATGATGTCATGTCATCCAAAGGTAATTTTGATTAAAAACTTTTGTAGTGGGTGCCCGCATGGAATTACCTTGGTTAATGACAGACTTGCTAATAACTGGGCCGTAGGCTCGTAGCAAGCTTGTAAAAGTTAGGGGGCCGTTTCCAGGCATAGATTTTCTGGAGTGTGTGTGCCCCCCCCTATAAAATATTGGCGGAAGGCAGACCGCCCACTCACCCAACTCCCCCCCCCCCCCCACCCCCGCGCTTCCTACCACCCTGGCTAATATTTTTGCTAATTATTTGTCGTCTGTTGTTTTTATTTTAGGTAGCCACACAGTTGGAGTTGTTAAAGGCCAAGAAAGTTATGAATTATTAAAGGATTCATTTTCAGAACTATTTTCGGCAATTGACAAAATAGTCAAGGAAGGGAAAATAACAGTAGATGAATGTGAAATTCCTGTTGAAATATTCCTTGGTGGTGATTACAAAGTATTAGTCATAATCAATGTTATGGTCTTGTTAGATTAACTTACAGAACTAATCTCTAAATTACCCAGATGCACCAAATGTGCTTTTTCATTATTTTTAAAATAATGATAAATCATTACACTTTTTAGTTTCTGTTGTTACTGTTGGGTATGAAGGGTGCAACATCAGACCATGCCTGTATCTGGTGCATCATTCACAAGAAATACAGGTGGGACTTTAGGATGTCTATTTAATACTAATTGATATAAAATTTTCCCTCTGTATGAAAATATAAAAGAGTTGATGGTGTAGCATTTTCCAACTGACAGAAGTCAATACTTTTTGTGCTATTAGATTTGACATGTCTAAGCTGGAGAAGTTCTACTCAGAGAGACCCATGGCCAGAACCCTTGAAGAGATAAAGAAATGTGCATTAAGTCAAACTCATTCTTGTGTCCATCAACCTTTATTGAACATTCCATTGGAAAATATAGTTCTGGATGAATTGCATCTCATGCTCAGGATTACAGGTGTAGTTTCTACTCATTTTCCTCCCACAGGGAGCAGCTTGGTTAGTATATATAAGGGGAAACTAATATAGTGTTAACCTCAGGATTCTGCTACAAGGGCCTAGATAAGGTACCTTGCAAAATTTCTCTTCCCTATTTTCACTAAGGGGCTGTCCATATGAGCCCGGTAAAGCTGGCTGGCCCGCTTGGTCGGGCTAGCCCGCTTTGCTTTCACAAGAGGCAGGCTAGCCCGGCAATCATATCTATTCATAGTAACGATTTCCTGCAATATTTTAGCGGGAAAATATAATTCATGTTTATTTGGCAAAATTTTATTTCTGTTGACGGCAACAGCTTCAGGAGGTTTAATTTCGATAAATCCCTATAGTTTGGACATTTTAGACTGTTTATCAGTGGAATAAAGCACGCAAATTTCCAGCCCGGCTTGCTGGGCTAGCCCGGTTGTGCATTCATATGAGCGCGGCAAGCCGGGATCTCACCTCGCTCAAGCGAGATCCTGGCAAACCGGGCTGGCCCGCTTCTCATATGAACCCAATCCTAAATTAATATACAAACAATATGTGAAGCGGGATCTCGGCACTTGAAAACCAGCCCGGCTAGCCCGGCAGAGCAATGGCTCATATGAACAGCCCCTAAATCCCATTAATGCTATGCACCTGTATAGTTTTGTAAGAGCTTGGTAACCACTAGGATACCATATTGATACCATTTTGATTGTTTTGGTACCCCAGTGCATTGCATTATGGAATTTAATGAAAATAGTGAATAATTATTTACATTTTCTTTGCATGTTCACAGACATCCTTACCAGGAACCTTGTAACAGCAGCAATAAACTGGGATAAAGAAGATAACTTTAATAAACGGCCTTGCGAAAGAACAAATATGCACCTTGAAGCACTTATCACTGCAGTTAACAACTGCGGAGTGTGTTTTAAGGTTTGGGAGAAACAAAATGCTGATGGGGGAGGAAGTGGCACATATGATTTCACCAGCCTGATGGGTGGAGATAAAAAGCTCCTGTTAAAATACCTTCCAGAAAAATTAGAAGGTGTTATTAAGGCAGACTTGAGCGAGAATGTGATCAATCTCTGGAAGGTAAGTTTATTAACTGTGGTTGTTTTTTTCAGACAGTTGCAATATGTAATTAGCTCATTGAGCTGCACTGCATTCAAATGTAGTCCCATGTAATTCACACGAATTACAATTCATAAGCACAGAATCCAGCCAGGAAGGCTTAAAATTAAAATTAAAATTGTATATTTTTATTTTACAATTACTGCAGAATTTCTGTGATCTATACTCAATGCTGGGCAAAATAGAACCATCTGATGATTTTGTAACTAATTACTTTGAAAAGGTATGTTTTCTTTCAAATTTGAATGTCTTTTCCAGCGCATATTTTTCTAACCTTGGAAATGTTGGCATATATATGAGTTGCGTTTTAGGGATAGCTTCCATTTATAGAAACAGGAAGTAGGGTCAGTACTATATATATATATATATATACAATTCACCTAGAAATAACTATACCTGTCACAAGGGTAGTTACTATTTTTAGAACTATATATATATATATATAGTTCTAAAAATAGTAACTACCCTTGTGACAGGTATAGTTATTTCTAGGTGAATTGGATATTGGCTTTTCAAACTTAAAAGGTGGTTCCGTTGATATACGTTTTCTATTTACATGTACATTTCAGGCAAAGAAATGGATACAACTTTTTAATTCTCTGAGCAGTGTTTATGATGGGTACGCCAAAGGAAATGTCACTCCATATATGCATGCCATGGTGTACCATGTCCCCACAATGATGCGAAAGCACAGTGGTATCAAGAAATTCACAGGACAAGGTTAGTTATGACAAACATTACTTTAATTCCTGTATAATATGTACTGATAAAGTGATCAATACATGTATTTTACCAGGACAGGTTAATATGGAGATACTGATTTATTCTATATATTTAAATTATGTGTGTTACAGCAACGTCCTAAAATGTCAATACAAAGTTTCTCAATAGGCATTTGAGGTGCGTCAGTCAATTTACCATCTTTAAAGATTTGGTGCTTAGGAGTCCAACTAAGCACTGGTTTAATTTTAAGCTGTTGTATTCCTCGCCCCTCTCCATGGCCATATTTATCTAAGGTGTACCACCAATGCTCTGGTAGCCTCAAACGTGCCAAATCTTTGACTGAGTACAGCGAGAATCCTTTGTGGTTTGATTCCCTGCCTTTCCAATGGATAATGTAACGCCAAAGGTCCAAGTCCATTGGAATATAGGTAAGTGCCACAGATTTTGATCGAAGGCTCGTCGTAATGGCCTGGTAAAACTGCCGACATGCCGTTTCCAATCGTTCCGGATGTGGTGTTGGTGGTATTTCATAACCTCTAGAAATTAAAGCAATTGTTATTATTTTATTGAGTTTTAAAAAAACATTAGAATGGCTACAAGTTGAAGTTTATTCAAAACAGTAAATTAAAACAAACAAACTAAATTGAGGGCCCCCTATACTTTTTGCGTGAAGCGTGAAGGGCTTATTTTACTTAGCCGTGAAACGTGATCGGGCCCCCTATACTTTTTGCGTGAAGCATGAAGGGCTTATTTTACTTAGCCGTGAAACGTGATCGATGATTTTCTTAATCCGTGACTCGTGAAAAGGCAAAATATTTTTACGTGAAATCATATTGTGAAGAGGTATAGGGGGCCTTCTAAATTTGTTGACTACATGCCACTGGCACAACCTTGCTCAGCTGTAATTTTTACCTCAATAACTCTTCACCAAGATGGCTTGAAGGTTCCCATAAACAGGCTGTAAGCGGCCAGGCATCCCATTTTATTAAATACTCGTATTCCTAATTTGAAAATAACAGCTTAGTGTTGGAGTATTTTAATATAGAGGAGTAGACACATGGGGTGCTTGTTTGGGTAGATTCTTTACAAAAATTCTTGCTCGATGAAGATAATCTAACAAGAACATCGACATTACGAGCTAAGAACCTTCGTCTGCATTATAGTATTAATATGAAGTGAAAAGACAACATGACTGAAAATAAAAATATTAACTTTATACTTACGCCTTTGATCTTTCGCTTTGAAATTATTCTTTCCACGCTGTATTTCCTCGGAAGAACCTTTCTCTTTTTCCGCGGTGTGTCGTACAATACCACTGAGGACAAAGAATCCAATTGTTGATAATCGAGCACATTTCTTTTTCTCGCCGCCATATTGAATTTACAGGTTTGCAACAGGCTCGCAGGCTAAAATCAGGGGAGCAACCGCTGTACAACATGTCTGGCACATGACCGACATAGTTGGCGATGCGGCCGAAAACTCCGAGTGTATTCAATGATAAATTGACGAACTTGACTTTATCATAATCTGCTTCCTGCTCATTGATTAGATCAAGGTACTTTTGACGCTTACGATTGGCGTTAACTTGCAGATTGGATTCATAACCGACTGTAAGCTCGAGGATGTATAGACATATGTTTTCAGTCACCAGAAGAAGGTCAGGTCGTACGTTATCTCCGGTGATAACAGATGGATTCATATAGCCAGGAATGTCCGCGTAAAGTGTGGAATTTTTCACAGCAGTAAGTGTGGATGCGAGGAAATTTAAAACAGGATCGTGTCGCCATGTAAACCGGCCTTCGTCTAAATATGTCTTGCATCCAGCAATCACATGAAGCAGCGTTTCAGGTGAGGAGCAGAAAGAGCAATCGGATGTTGATGATAGTCCACATTTTGATAGGTTCTTTCGTGTAGGAAGTGTGTTATTGATATATCGGATGGTGAAGTTAAAAATATTTTTAGGAAGTTTGCTCTGAGCGGATGACCATAAAGAGTTGAATGTGGATGTGGAATGATTCATGACACTAGAAAAGAAAGAACCTTGCGAAATGAGGTGGTTTTGAAGTCTTTGTTCGTTTTCTTTTCTAACTGCCTTAAGTACGTCTTTTGTGTCTTTGTAAATGTCATACTGTACGCAGGGCTGGAGCTATGGGGGGTGTGGGGGGTGTGACACCTCCAAATATTCTATTCCAAGCTTCAGTCGGCAGGACGACTATTTCAGTCAGCAGACAAAAATATTTTTCACGAATAAAACTACTACCGATATGATTTTCACCTGTTATGTAAGAAACGGAAATTTTGGTTACTCGAAATTTACTCAGCAGGATAATCATTATAATCGGTTAGTAAAACAAGCCCAGATTGACAGTCAAACTACATAGTGATACAAAGTATATGTAGCATGTTTGATAGGTTACCAAATATGGCAATTTAGAACAGGCTTTATTTAGAACACAACGGGCGTAACTTCAGGGACCACGGAGCAGGGGGGGGGGGCAACAATTTCCATACATATGTAATTTTTATAAACTAAGAATACTGAAATCTTTCAGATCAGTTAACAATATATTTATAACTTATTAGTACTTATTAGTATAAGTATTCAATCTATTTCTCGTTGGATTAAACAAATGACGGGTAATGTTAGATTAAGGCCCCGGTTACACGATACCGGATTCGTATCGGAGCGACATCAATTTAAGGTGTTTTCCAGTCTTTTCTGCTATTACAACTTTTCATATATGAAGTTTTTGTTTAATTATGTTATATTATCAGAATTTTAAGTGCCAAATTCACCTCGAGTAAAATTGGATGTCGCTACGATGCGAATCCGGTATCGTGTAACTGGGGCCTAGGAGTCGTCTATTAAGAAACCTTTTAACAGCAACTAGTAAATTTTGATTTCATTTCCGGGGTTTGGGAGGTCTCAGATTTCAAAATTTCCCGGGGGAGCATTCCCCCGGACCCCTGACAAACTCACGCCTTCGACGTTCGCTATAGCCCCCTTAATCCAAAAATGGCTCCGTAGTTGACCCCCATCGGAAATTCCACAAGCTTCCATGGCTAGCAGGTGGTCGGTGCAAGCTCGTTCGTCAGTCGGTTAAAATGACCTTACACCCCCTGAAAAATTTCCTGGGGGTGGTCCTGGCTGTGAGCTCATATGATGAGCAGTTACGTAGAAAGTTCAATTTTGAGAATCGACTAAACCAATTGGTGAAGGAAATCTCTGACAAGATCAGCCCATTGGAGTTCGAGATTAGACCAGAAGATTCAATAAGCAGAGCGGGTTCTCGAAGAAATAGCCGGTTGCATGTGAGTTCTGCAGCAAGTTCGGCCCCAAGTTCTGAGATCAGAAAGGTGAGAGCGAAGCAAGCCGTAGCTCGACTCAAGTTGAAGCAGTTAGAGCACCAGCAAGAGCTAGTTATGAAAGAGGTAGAAATGAAGATGAAACGGGAAATGGTCGAAGTGCAAAATGAGATTGATCAAGCGGATCTGGAAGCTGAAATTTATGAACAAAATACCGAGGACAACGAAGTAGAAGAAAACAAATATATGCATGTTATAACCAGTTAAACCCTAGTGCAGAGAGTTTCTCACCAGTACACCGAACAAGAGTTGATTGGAAAAGACGAGAAGAACCCAATATCGATAAATTACACTTAAAGGAAGAATGCAATATTACACCTTCAATACCTGCAACAAGTGACAGGCTCGTACTACCAATCCCGAATATCGAATATTGTAGTCGAATTCCTCCCATAGACCTCGGGAATGATAGGAGTGATTTGAAAAATCTGGCCACTACTATCCGACAAGGGTTTGTACTGCCAAAGCCAGAGTTACCGAAGTTTGATGGAAACCCACTTCAATATTGGAGTTTTATGAGAGCATTTGAAAACAACATTGAGCGGAATACTTCGGACGAAAACGAGAAGTTACTCTACCTCATGCAATATTGTATAGGAGATGCGGGTAGGGTTATCAAAAGTTGTGTTACTACGGATCCATCAGTTGGCTATGACGTTGCAAATAAATTGCTCAAGGAGAGGTTTGGTCATCCGTACACTATAGCAACATCCGTACACTATAGCAACCTCCTTCGTGAAAAGTGTAACGGACGGTGCTTCGATCAAGCCTGCGGACAGGGTTGAGCTTTTGGCCTTTGCAGACCAGCTGAGGCATTGTGAAAATACACTGAAGGCAATTGGGTACTTAGATGAAATAAACAGTGCCGATAACTTGAAGAGAATAGTCCAAAGGTTGCCCTACCACCTGAGAGTCAAATGGTTGGATAAAGCTCAAGCCTTACTTGAGGCTGGAGAGCGACCCAGACTACACCACATATCACAGTTCGTTATGGCCGGAGCTAAGACCGCCAATAATCCCGTGTTTGCTGGAATTCTTTTCGACGAAAGAAATCAAAACCGGAACAAGGTTTTTCAGCAGAAACCAGAACAAAAATCCAACTTTAATATTCGAGCAGAAGAAGATGGAGAGAAGTTGCCGAACCGGGACGAAATCGTCGTTCCCAAGCCCAAGGAGAACTATGCAAAAACGGAATGTCCATCCTGCGGTGGGTGGCATTCGCTGACGAATGCTAATTATTTGAGAAGAAACCTTATGTGGAGAAAATAAAGATTGTTCGGCGGGCTAAGCTTTGCGACAACTGCTTCATTGCTGGTCACATGGCCAAGGTCTGTATGAAAGGAAGCTCGTGTGAGGTTACCGGTTGCAACAGAAAGCATCTCACCCTTCTCCACCCTCCAAGGCAAGAATATCCCAAGCGAAGAGCTGAAAGAGATCTGCCAGGACCAACGAACGAGGAGAATGAACACTTAGAAGATGGAAATCCCGAAGGTGGTAACTGTAATGCAACTAACAGAGGCTGCGGTGTTCGTCTGCGTACTGTTCCGGGAAGGAATAGTGATAAGGAAGGAATAGTGATAAGGTGATTGAAACCTATGCGTTCCTGGACAATGGCCCGGAAGTAACCCTCTGCGACCAGAAACTAGTACGAGAGCTGGAGTTAGATGGAATCGAAAGGAAGTTTTCGTTAACCCCGCAAGAGAAGCGAGATAGCAGAAGAAAAGGTTTAGAAGTTCAGCTGAGGATCGAGACAATGGATGGCAACGATGCTTTAGACCTACAAAGGGTGTGGACTGTGAATGAATTGAACGTTTTCCAATGAAGTATCGCCACAGCAGAAGATATAGAGCATTGGAAACATCTAAGTGGCATCGGGCTGCATATTATTGAGGATAAAGAAGTGAGAATTCTTATCGGAAGCGACGTGCCTGAAGCGTTCTGGGTCCTGGAAGAAAGGAGCGGTGGTAGAGGAGAACCATACGCGATTAGATTGGTCGGACCTACAGAGCCAGTAGAAGACAGAGAAAACCAATTCAGCACAAACTTCATTCGAGTCGGAATGGAAGAAGAAACGCTACAACAGAGAACTAAACGGAACAAGGTTCAACGAAATTTAGTGTCTGGTGATTTGGTACTAGTTGTCGAAGAGAACGTGCATCGTGGACAGTGGGCATTGGGCAGAGTTACCGTGATATATACTGAGAAGGATGGTCGTGTTAGATCAGCCAAGATTATGACGAGATCGACGACATTGGTAAGACCAATGAGCAAACTATGCAATCTCGAGAGCACGCAGCTTGACGTTGATGAAAGGAAGAACTAAGGTTTACTTACGAAGTAATACGAAGTTAACATTACATTACATATTGTCGCAAGTGCATGAGAGTGAACGTCATTAGGTACGTTCACTGGGGGGAGTATGTTGCGAACTGAATCGGACAGCGGTAGTACTAGTTAAACCTACAACCAGGCTTTTGCGCAGGATAACGTATTCGGAACGTTTTATCAACTTTATATGGACATTTATTGCTGTTGGGGTTTATCTAATGTGTCGTTGGTTTATAGAGCACACAGAATTGTAAGTAGTGTTTAGTGGTGCTTGAAACGATGTACGTGTATAACCTAATCGGTTGTTTCGTGGTTCTTACGCACTGTAAATGTGCTTACACACTCAAATTCGGAGAATGTTGTTACTGCGGACGTTGTTCCACTGGGCATAAGTGACCACAATCTTATTTATGTAGTAAGGCGAGCCGGACCTAAAGCAGGGCCCATTCCCATAAGAGTATTGAAATTCGCAATTTTAAGCATTTTAATTGCAATAGTTTTCACGATGATCTTTATAATCAACCATGGGACCACATCGATCAGGAATCAAATATTGATCGTAAGTGGTCTCTTTGGAAATCTCTTTTTTGGAGGTTTTTGACAAACACGCTCCGCTGAAACTCAATCGAATTCGAACTAGACATAACATTCCATGGTTAAACCAAAATACTAAAAACTTCATACGAGAGAGAGATCGACTTAAACGTATAGCAATGATCACAAAACATGAAACTGACTGGAATGCTTTCTCGACACTCCGAAATAGGGTGACTAACACTATACGTCAAGATAAGGAAAATTATCATCGAAATATAATTAACAAGAATAACGATCCTAAACATGCCTAGAAAGCAATTAATAATATTTTAAGTCGTAAATCACCCAAATCAATTATCAATAATCTCAAAGTAAATAATCGAGACGTAGTCATGGCCGAAGAAGTCTCGGATTGTTTCAATAAATACTTTGCTGACATAGGGGGCAAAGTTGCAAATTCGGTCGAAAATATTAATTGTACTTTTGCTGAATATTTGAACAACTCCGCTTCCAAAAATACTACCTTTAGTTTTCAAAGTGTGGAACCACAATTAGTTTATCATCTATTGCAAACAATTTCTCCTTCTAAAGCTACCGGGCTTGACAAAATTCCAGGAAAAATACTGAAGTTAGCCGCCCCTGTAATTGCCCAGTCTTTAACTAATTTGTTTAATTATTCCATAACTACTGAAACATTCCCTTCCGAATAAGAAGATAGCACAAGTTATCCCTCTTCATAAATCAGTGCCTAGAAATCTGTTCGATAATTACCGCCCAATTTCTATTTTACCAACAAACAGCAAAGTATTCGAGAAAATCCTTTATAGGCAGATATTCACTTATTTTAATACTAATAATATCATTTCAAAATATCAGTTTGGATTTGGACCAAATCATTCTACTGCAGATGCATTGCTACATAGCAAGAACGAATGGTATACAAATTTGGATCGTGGCATGTTCAACACAATAAATGGATAGAAATGTACATGTGGCATATACAACACAATAAATCATAAGATCTTAACGTCAAAGCTAGGTTTTTATGGGTTTGAGCCCTCCGCACTTAATTTTATTAGTTCATATTTAGGAAATCGATCACAATTGTGGTACGCGAATGGGCATTTATCTAATTCCCGCAATATTAATTACGGAGTCCCCCAAGGATCTATTTTAGGTCGTTTGCTTTTCCTAGTTTATATAAACGATTTACCAAATTGTGTTCATATATACGTCTAGTGTCAGAATGTTCGCAGACGATATTACTCTAACTGCATGTGGCAAATCATTATTGGAAATTGAATCGAAAATAAATAGTGACTTGGCAAATGTTAACGCGTGGCTCTTAGCCAACAAATTAAGTCTAAACCTTGTTAAAATTGAGTATTTATTGATTGGAAGTCGATCTAAGATCAATAATCTTACCTCTGAACCTAACATTGTGATCAATAATAGACCCATTAAACGTGTAACTGAAACGAAGTCCCTAGGTATTCTAATTGATCAATTTTTATCTTGGGATAGTCATTTAGATGAATTATGTAAAAAGGTAGCAGCTGGAATTGGGGCTATAAAACGACTAAGGCATATTTTAACCGTCTCACTCCCCTATCCGTCTATTATGCTCTGGTTCAACCGTATTTTGACTATTGCTGTCTTGTGTGGGATCCAATTGGTACCACGCTTACAAATCGATTACAAGTACTCCAAAATAGGGCAGCAAGGGACATCTTAGGATATAGAAATGAGCATGGTCAGTCTGAAGCCGCTTTGTCTGAATTGCAATTGAAAACGTTAAAAGAACCCAGATTAATCTTTAGGGGCAAGTTTATGTATAAAATTGCTCATGCGCAAGCACCACCTGTTTTAACCGATATCTTTGAAGACTCATCTGCTCCTCAACATAATTACAATTTAAGAGACCATGATTTCAAGTTTTACTTACCAAAACCAAAAACAGAATATTTGAAAAATAGCATCCGGTATAGTGGAGCAAAACCCTGGAAAACCTTACCGTGCGAGTTAAGAAGCGCAAATTCATTAAATCTATTCAATTCGTTTCTGATACTAGCTTGCAGTCTTAAATCTATTATTATATCTTTATTTAACCATGATTTAACTAATTGTAAAATTTTATATGGTAAGTGTAACTATTGTATATATTTTATCATAACGCCCCTCTTGGAAATCAGTAAATGCTGAAGGGGTTATAGCGTGTTTAAATAAAGTTTTATCTACATCTACAGAACTTAGACTACGTCCACATGTACTAAACCGTTTTCGTATTGTTTCAGGTAATTAAACCATTGTCCATTTCTCTTGTGAACGCGGAGAACAAGACGAAAACGGTTAGGCATAGCCTTAAGGTGGCTCCCAACAGTTTTGATTGTACAGCACACAATTGTATTCAAAAAACCATTATTTTATCATCTTGCATAGTATGATCACGAAACTTGGCCACATAACTGCTACAATATCGCGAATTACGAAAAATAAAAAATGTCGTTAAAAATCCCCGTTGCCATGGTAACAAAGCGATTTTAAAAAGGGCCAATTTGCAGATTCTTTGATAATGTTTTGAAAATTTCTTCGGTAAAACTTTTTATTTTTTTGCACAGAGTAGTAATCTTATCTATAATTCCTTCAAATGATAGCATTTAAAAAAAATAGGTACGCGACGCGTACGTGTATCTGCGAAAAAAGTTGGTTCACATTTTGTATTTTCTTGAAAGAAACTGAATAATGAAGATGACATGGGCTATACACAGCGGGGAGTGCAGCAGGGCAAGTGCTACCCCACCCCCACCCCGAGAAAATTTAACTAACTTTATAATGTGATTATGATTGTAACAAATAATTATGCAGTCAGGAAATAAAAATTTCATGCAAACAATATTCAAAGTGTCTATACAGCCGGGTATTTAGTAAACTGTCACCTGTCAATTCAATCCATACTCACCAAATTTTCAAAACTTTATTGTAATCATATGAAGCAAAAGTTATGCCACTTGATGTTTACACTTGCCAATGTTAACTGTTGAGTAACATACACAAAATATTTCATGGTGAACATGTCGAAGCGAAGACCACTGAATAGTTGAGAATGTTTTGAAGGTCATGAGTGAAGTATATAATTAAATTCCAGTTCTGTGCACGGTTAATGATATACCACACTGTTCGGTTTAACACGTACAGCACATTCACACAAAAACAATTGTGTTGTGGGAGATTATCGGTTTGAGTAGAAGGTATCACAAGTTTAATTTCGTACATTGTGTGCCATTGATCAAATCCACCATATAATATGATTATTCATTGTAGCTGTTAAGTTATTTTCCATACTAATGAATTTAGGTAAGATTGCCTTGCAAAATTATCTGGCCAATAATATCCAGTACATTTATTCATCATCCTTGCATTAATCTCTAAACAAAAACATTTATGTTTAATAGAAAGCAAAGTAACAATGTAATGAGGGAGGGTGGGGATTCTTTTATTAGCATTTGAAAATGTTTGTGAAAATTTTAATTATTAATAAAACTCTAATGTGTAAAACCAAAATGTATAACAGTATAAGTATTTTAGCTGATAACATCGAACAAATTTTAACACAGAACCAGGATTTAATTCAATATCTCCTGAGAACATTAGTTTCCTGTAACATTGTTCATTGACAAATATATTGCCTGCTATGTTTTGACTGCAAAACAAACCCTTTCTGATAAAGGAGTTAATATTTGGAACAAACTAGATTGTAATTATAAAAATATCAAATCTTATACTACCTTCAAAGAGAAAATTAAAAAGCACCTACTACTCAATAATTAAGCACTGTAAATATAGCCATAATTTCTTACTCTTTCTACTTGTCTCTTGTATATTTGAGCATCTATAGTTATTCTACTTGTAAGTATAGCACTATAGGTATCCGTTCTGTCCTTTATTTAAAGTATTAAGACTTGACATTACTTTTGACAATATACTGATTTTATGAATTTTTAGTGACTTAATTTTTACTCGTATGAAACTATAGCCCTGGGCCTTCTCATTCTCCCACTGATTATTTGCATGGAAAATTTAAAAAACTTAGAACTAAAGTTAAAAATCTTTTGAAAGAGAGTCGTGAAAGATATTTCTCCAACCTCGGCCAGAGTTTGTATCTAAACCCGAAACGCTTTTGGAATCTGTTTAAAGTAAAATTCAAAACCAGTACCATCCCACAATCTGTATCGTGGACAATAGGAAATGACACAAAAGTCGCTAACAACCCAACGACTATCGCTAATATGTTCAATAACTACTTCTCCTCAGTATTCGCTCCACAAGAAGATCTTCAATCTAACAACGCTACTACGACAGATATAAATGACACTATTTCTTCTGGTTCATCTACGCAGTCAATAGATCAATTATCAGTGACGGAAAGTGATGTTCTGAGAACTCTAAAATCTCTCGACCCAGATAAAGCATTAGGACCAGATGAAATCCCTGGTAGAATTCTGAAAGTAACAGCCAATCAAATTGCTCCATCGCTCACCCGCCTGTTTAACAAATCTCTCCAAGTTGGGGTAGTACCCGATGAGTGGAAGCTTGCAAATGTCGTTCCAGTACCCAAAAAAGGAGAAAAGGATCGCGCAGAAAACTACAGACCTATTTCCCTTTTATGTATAGTATCGAAATTGTTGGAACGATGCATATTAAACCACCTTAGATTCTATCTACAGAACATAATAAATCGCTGTCAGCATGGTTTTACTCCCGGGAAATCCAGCACTACTCAACTCATCCAAGTCATAGATACAATTGGTAAACATCAAGGACAGCAGATAGATGTCGTTTATCTTGATACGTCCAAGGCATTTGATAAAGTGAATCACACGAAGATGATCGATGAACTCCGTAGTTTTGGATTCAACGGTGGCCTGCTTTCTTGGTTCCAGTCCTATCTTCACCATCGTCGACAAAAAGTGACAGCGTTAGGATCAACATCTAAGTCGACGCCCGTGACATCCGGAGTACCACAAGGATCTATCTTGGGTCCAATCCTGTTTCTGCTTTAAGTTAATGATCTACCCGATGCGATATCCTCGTCACAATTGCAACCTTCGCAGACGATACCAAATTGTTCCAATGCATATCGTGTGAAGCAGACAGCTCTCTCCTACAAGAAGATCTGACCAATATAAACAACTGGTCATCGTCTTCTGATCTTATGTTTAATCAGTCTAAATGTAAAGTTCAGACAATATCGCGTAAACGAAAGCCCATTATGGCCTCATACTCCATGGGAAATACGCAGCTCGACAGCAGTGTAAATTTCAGTCACTGTGGTTTTTTTAGAGTTTTTTCATATTCATGCTATTACACTGTATGGAAAGGTTTTGCTTTTGCCAATGGTAAAATATACTTTTATAAGTAAGTGTCTGATTGCCTGATCTCTTGGTTGGTTGATTGAACACGTCATTTGAACAGTTCGTTAATTGATTGATTTTTTTATTACTTAGTCCTTTTCCGTTTACTGTTCAGTAAACTTAACTAATTTATCGAATATTGTGAAGAAGGATCCGCCGTAATTGGCTGTAGCTGTTGCGGTAATCCTGCCTTGTTTATATATATAGTAATTTGATGTTCAGCCTTTTGAATGATGTTTTTTAAGGTGCATTTCAGCCTCAACCTTGTTCCCAGGGCTTTCGTATGAGAACGAGGGGAGATACGAGAAAGCCCTGGTCTGGACCGGTCACGTGACTACCCAAAAAATGGAAGCATTTGATAGCTACTTGTCAAGGAGTGGCGAGATATTCTTTAATGAAATATACAAATAAACAGCCAAAAGACATCATTTATCAATCGATATTATTTATGTGTAGCGAAGTTTGGCACGAATCAGCTGAAATCGCTGAAGACCCCGTCTATGTTTTCTAAGATATACCGATATTTCTGGAGATTTTCAACCACAAGCAAAGCTGCATCCAAGCTGCATCCAGGCGTCTCCATGCAAGTGGTGATTCACACAAAATTTGCTTTCTCTCGTCTTGAACAACATGGCTATTGCCTTTAATATTTAGTTTAAATATGCTCTTATAGATCTGACTTAGTTCGATATAAATAAACACAAATATAAAACCTCGCGTAACCTGTTTACGCTGTGCAGGAATATACGGGTTCGCTTGTTTCGCCGGACACCAACACTTGCCGTTCAGGAGCAATGCTTGCGTACAAATTTTATCCCCTTCACAATCTTTGTTTTATTTTATCATATAGTCGCAATTTTCCAGTATTCGGGGTATTCTGAAACTGTAAAACTCGATGGCGTGACGAATCTTGTAGAGACTAGAGGGCCTAAATTAATTTAGTAGTTTCATTTAATTGTTTGTCTTGCTTTTATTTGTCAGCATAGAATATTGTAAATTAAAATATTACTAGAATGCAATACGCGTAGTATTTCACCAGACATCTGCACTACATTATAAATACTGTACAAGGAAACTACAGCTTAGACTAGAAGTTACTATCGCAAGAATGCTGCCTCGCTCCCAAGGAATCAAACGCAGCATGTGCATGCAATTTGCTGAAAAAGGGCACAGAATAGAGACTAACAGAGGCTGGATTTCTTGGTTTTTCCTATGATTTTGGCGTAACTGTAATTCGTCATCAAAATGCTGACGCCATGTAGCCAATCTCGTACCCAGAGCAATGCCTGTGCGCGGGCTAGGAAGGCATTGGCTCTGGGGAAATTGACAACCGGAACCCCTAAATTTAGGGGTTCTACTCTGGGGCGATAACGAGATAATGCGAGTTTAAGCAATTTTAGGTGATTTAAGCAAAATCTGCAATTTAAGCAATGCGAGTTTGAGCGATATAGGGCAATGTAAGAAAACAATTAAAATTTTAGGGAATGCTGTTTTAGGTGTTTAGAGGTAATTTCAGGAATATACAACTATATCCCTGAGGACTCCAATGAAATTACCATTAACCTATGCCAAGCATCCAAACATGAGTACTCGTTCCCACAAACACACACACATGCTGTGAATACACTGTATGCGCATAACGATTAAGTGTTTAAAGGGTAAATAAGCTCAATATTCATGACTTTTTTTGTCCATTGTCTATTTCGAAGCCATTGGGGTATTATTAAATTCATGACACAACTATAATACATGACCACATGTTCACATCATATGCAATTGCAAACAATTTTCAAAGGAGTAGGGTACAGAATTGCAATATAACAACATATAAGTAAATTATACAGGTGATGAACTCACCAGTTTGTGTTGAGTTAAATTTAAAAATTTTTATGACATCAAATATTATTTATTTATTTGCAAATCAAAACCACTGAGATCAAAACATTTTAAAATTCTCGTGTTTTGTTTTTTCTTGCGCCCGCGATATATTAATGGTATTAACCGCTGTGAATATGATATACATTTTTATAAATACATTACATTTGCGCTCAAAAGTTCAGGAAGTGAGTTTCTAGAAAGGATGAAAACTCCGTTTTATATATGGTATGTAAGGTAATCGTTGTTTACTGTTTATTTTGTATTCAGGTATGGGGAATTTAAGCGATGAGAGTTGCAAAACTTGCAAATGTAGTCTGACTAGTTTCTTTGACGTCATCATGCAACTATTTAATATTGTGCTACATGCATTATTCGCAGCAATTAGCCTTCTATATTAAAGCCATACAAATGATTATAGCTTATAGCCCACCTTGCCTTTAACATTGATCCTATATATAATGAATTAACATAAGTAACTTGATTATGTTGCTAGTCGAGTTTGGGACCTATCACCTATGGGTCTTCTAGATCCTAGAGTAGCACAATTAATATAAAGTCTCTGTAAGGCGGTGCGCGAATAAATTGAATAATGAATGTAGCACAATATTAAATAGTTGCATGATGACGTCAAAGAAAATAGTCAGACTACATTTGCAGGTTTTGCAACTCTCATCGCATAAATTCCCCATACCTGAATACAAAATAAACAGTAAACAACGATTACCTTTTACATACCATATATAAAACGGAGTTTTCATCCTTTCTGGAAATTCACTTCCTGAACTTTTGAGCGCAAATGTAATGTATTTTAATATAAAAATGTATATCATATTCACAGCGGTTAATACCATTAATATATCGCGGGCGCAATAAAAACAAAACACGAGAATTTTACAATGTTTTGATCTCAGTGGTTTTGATTTGCAAATAAATAAATAATATTTGATGTCATAAAAATTTTTAAATTTAACTCAACACAAACTGGTAAGTTCATCACCTGTATAATTTACTTATATGTTGTTATATTGCAATTCTGTACCCTACTCCTTTGAAAATTGTTTGCAATTGCATATGATGTGAACATGTGGTCATGTAT